AGCTGAGAGGAAGTCTAAACTCATGCCTAGGATCGATGGTCCCTTTAAAGTCATAAGGAGAATTGGCGACAATGCTTATCAACTCAACCTGCAAGGCAAGTATAATGTGAGTTCAAGTTTCTATGTTTCTGATTTAGTTCCTTATTTGCAGATGATCCAGATTTGAGTTCAAATCCTTTTCAAGAGGAGGGGGATGATGCGATCATGGAAAGCTTACTTGAACCAGAGCTTGGAGACAAGGAACTTGTAGCTAAAGAGCTTGAACCTGAGGAAGCATTGCAAGTAGCAAACGGCCCAATGACTTGAGCCAAGTCTAGGAGACTCAAAGAAGCCGTTAACAACATCATCATACAACCAATTTCAAAGGGAAAAGAGTATAATTCAAACACTCTTGTTGTGATCCAAGTCTGAGATACTTAGTAGACTTGTGATCCAACTTTATACTCTTTTTCCCCATCATTAGTTTTGTTCCAATTGGTTTTCTAGTGAAGGGTTTTTAATGAGGCAGAGTTGGATCACTTAAGCATCTAAGTCCACTAAGTCCAGCCCAAAAGAGTCGGCCATGAGGAGGAGCGTATGGAAGCATTTGAATTCCAACTTAGACAGCTTGCACTTGTAATTTTTCAGACATGTTTATTGCTTTGGCCGAGACTCTCTTCTGCTTCTTTATATTCTCTTGTAATATCATTTGAGAAACCATCTTATCTTTGATCAAAAATCTCTTTCTAAGTTAAGATCAAACCTCTTGTTGGTGTTTAATATCCTTCAAGAACCTCGGTTCTCTTTGACTTGTGAGTCATATCCAGTGAGGAAAATCAAACCAAATTCATCAAAGGTCTTTCCGCAACCTTTGGAGTCTTATCAAGTCCGCACGCCTTGAAACTTTTGTGTTTGCAAGGATTATCAGTTCCAATCCAGTGTTTGAGTGTGATCTAGGGAGAGGATTCTATTGAGAATCGCATCAGTGAAGGTAGCTGCTACAAGTTTTATGGCATTGCTATTAACTGGTGGGATCAGATCACAACAAACCGAAAACGCAATAGAGATCCGCCTAGTGATACTTGGGAAGAGTTGAAAGCACTCATGAGGAAACGCTTTGTCCCTAGTCCGTATCATAGGGAGCTCCACCAGAAGCTAAGGCACTTGACTCAAGGAAATGGCAGTGTAAAAGATTATTTTCAAGAAATGGAATCTTTGATGATCAAGGCTGGTATTGAAGAAGATGAAGAAGCAACCATTGCTAGGTTCTTGAGTGGGCTAAAACGTGAAGTTCAAGACAGAGTGGAGATACAAAGCTATGCTGATCTAGAGGAGATAATCCAAAGAGACCGGAGTGAGCTTGAGTACCAATAGGAATTCACACTAATGGTCAAGATGTTCTTCCAAGGAATTCGAAATGACATCAAGGCTACACTCTGTCTCAGAGGATTTTACGTGGTGACGGATTGTGTAAAGTTCTGCGCAACTCCGTCAAGGGCCTTCCCTCCTCCCCAGTCATATGACTGTGAAGTTAAAACTGATCCGTCAGAAAATATGCGAATTGATTAGAAAATTGTTTTCATAAGGAGTAGAAAAAAAAATCATGTTGCATCTAAGCTTTTTCAATAAAAAAAAAGTTTTGGATTTCAATTCTGGCTTTTTGCCCTTTCTAATAAAGTTATACTCCTTACATCAATAAAAAGAAGTTTCGGTTTTCATTTATTATTTTTTTCGCAACATCCCTTGAACTCTCTCTCTCTCTTTCAAGATTCTGTCTACCACCACTCTATGTTCCTAAAACTAACTTTCATCTGGTATGAAAATCAAACTCGGCATATTCGACCTTGGTGTTTCCACTTCAACATTTTGGCTTTGGTGATAGCATTTTCGGCATTAGTGTTTCTAGCATTGGCGTTCTACTCATTCATGGTGTTCAGACATTTTCCTTTCATTTGATCTTAAGCTTTTCATTTGTTTTCACAGTTTTCTTCCCAATGATTTGGGGACGAATCATCTTCAAGGAAGAAAGACTGTGATATTCTGATTTTCGGTCTAGAAAAATCAGTATTTTTTTACTTTTAATTTCTGGTTAAGTTGACTTAATTATCCTCCGGAATATTCACACAGAGATTTCCTTTTTATTTTATTTGCAACCAAAAGATTATCTTTTTATTCTTATTCTCGTAATCTTTTTCAGATATCTTGTATTTTTATTTCTGATAATTTTTTTCTTTCTAACAAATAATTCATCTATAATATCTATCTCATTATTTCAAGAGATAAGTACCATTATAAAAATTTTTTTTAAGTGTTTTATATCCACTATAGACACTAAAGTGTTTTGGTACACTTATCTCCTACTTTTCCCTACTGTATTGACTTGTTTTTACCATTACACCCCTTTCTCCAATTTCTAGTTACTTTTTACCTTTTTCTCTCTCTTCTTTCCACTTTATCTTCAAACTCTGTTCTTTTATTTATTCATCTCATGTGTATTCATATAGATATATATATCCACGTATGCTATATTGACATGATACGCATGTGTATCCATATAATTGCGTCCACGTTTACGCAACTATATAGATACGCATGTGTTATATTGATAGACGATACTATATGCACGTGGATATGCATGTGTATCCATATAATTGTATCTACGTATACAAAACAATGGGTATCAATGTATAAAAGAAAAAAATTATTATTCAAATTGTAAAAATGATTGTTCGATTATTTTATAATAAGAGAAAAATAAAGAAAACAAAACAATTGGAATGTGTGATATTATTGTAATAATAAATAAAAAGAAAATCAGGATAAGTAATTATGTGTTGATGAAAAGGGTTTTTTAAAGATTTTTTTTTTGCAAAACTGACAAAAGTATCTTTAGTGGATATTAAAACTTAAAAATGTCTATAGTGGACATTAAATCTCTAAAAGTGTCTCAAAAGGTAATGCATTCTTATTTAATCTCTCTTTTCTAATAAACCTTAGCTTTTTTCTCTTCTTTGTGTATCTATGTCTCTCTTCCCTTGCTGCGTCTTTCTCTCTCCTTTCCGTGAAACCCTAACCACCTCGAGATATCTTTCCTCCTATTTCGCCGAAATCTTCTATGGATTCTGGTGATGAGATTTCCTCCTTTCTATCTCCTCCATATGTACCAAGGTGAGGACTTCTTGTCCTTCACTCTCTTTCAAAAGCGTGTTTTAATTAGTCTTTTCTTAAATCAAAACTCTTTTCTGCTAAGCAAGCTAATTGATCTGTTTAGATTTATGGTTTGTTTTCCAATTCTATTATATATACCATTATAAATATCTCTTTATATCTGTTGTTAGATCTGATATTAGGGTTTATGAATTATGCTGTTTGTTGCTTGATTCACATGTTTTGGAATATTGACATGAGATCTTCGAAACCCTAAAACATGGTGATTGAGTTATATGTATTGTGATCTCTAGATTCCAATTCATATAAATTGGTTGAATCCTGAGTGAGTGACAGTCTTGAATCTAGATTGATGAGAATAATGAGAATGATGAATGACGAGAATGATGAATGATGAGAATGATGAAGTTGTAAACCGGTATTGTGTGGAGTAATGTGTTAGAACTGATAGGTGTCCATCATAGGCAATCTCTGTGGTGCAAATATTGTTTGCTGGGGCTGAGATATATGTCTATAGGCGTCATCAGTTCTCAAGCCCGGAGGTTACCTCAAGAAGGCCGATTCGTCTGGTCCTTCGGGAAGGTGGGGTCGGGTGTCGAGTAAGTGAAGTGTTCACGAGTCACAGCCTTTTGGGAGGTGGAGTCATAGCTTGTGTTGTGGTGAAATGGGGATCAAAGTGAATTGTTTGTGTGGATCCCAATTGTGTGTGCTTGTTTTATGATTAGACTTTTATAATAGTTAACTCGTGTAATTGCTTGGAAGTGAACTGTGAGTCTCATTAAGACTCATCCTCACTGAGTAATGCCCATTACTCACCTCCTCCTCTTCCCTTGTTCCTTTTAGTTTAGCAAGATCAGAAATGTTTTATATTTTTGATTGTGACTCCTGGCGATTTTATGTGCTCACCAATGAAGCCAAACCGGGAGACTTAACCATTGGAGGTTAGTCTGCCGAGCTAACATGCCTGATTTTTGGTTCTCTCTTGAGACCCGAGATAGGAATGTTACATAAACCTCGTCGGTTCTGTTCACTAAAGAAACACATTATTCACATCTAGCTGCCTTATATTCTATAAGCAACGAACATGTTCTAGAACCAATCACACCGTTGTCAATTTGATTACTGGGCTATAAGTCTCTAAATAATCGTGCCACCAGCCTTACATTATACCTGTCAAGGTCACCATTAGGAAGATACTTTAGAGTAAAGTTCACTTTGTAAGAATAACATTTTGATTCAGTGAAGTTGGAACCAAATCAAAAGTACCATTCTGAGCTACAATAGTATAGTCCAAAAACATCGCAGTTTTCCACTTTTCATCTCTCAAGGCTTGATACACAATGATGGGAATTAAAGGTTTACTAGAAACCGCGAGGAAAAATTTTGATTTTTGTTTGGTGATTTTTATTTTTGGCTCGGTTGGTTGATATCTTTACCGCTAATTTTTTCAGTTTAGTTTAATGGTGCAAATGGTGGTGAGTGAGAGAAATGAGAGGAATAATGATAAATAGAAAAAACTATAAGTAGAATTAGACATTTTTCCTCTAAAGTTTTCCTCTCTCTTTTCTAAAGGAACAGTTTCTGATGAAATTAGGCTTATTTTCCACTTTTTTGGTGGGATCTAGTATAATTTGGAACTAGGTAAATTTAAGCTAAATGTTGGTTTTTTAAAGGAACCGATTTGCTGGTTTTCAGATGTCAAATACAATGATGTAGAATTCTTTCTCATAGTTTCCGCTTCTACTTATCATTCAGGCTCATGCTATTTGAGCAGATGCCTTGTAAGATTTGTTAAATAACAAATGGTTTGAGCAGATGCCATCCCCACGGTCTGATACATGTTCTATATTTTCTAATATAAAAATTGATTTGAGATGAGATGTCTTTCTTTTCAGACAGAACAATAATATTAATCAGTAAATTAACGTAGTAGCTGATATAAATACTAAAATCTCACTTCCGTTCATCAATAAAAACTGCCATTTTCTAGTCCAATGGAGCCATTAGCCGCTTGCAAGATCAAGTCCTTGAGGAATCTTCCCAGGATAGTTTGTGGCCTCTGCAAAATCAGTCCCTGTCTTCCTACACACCCAACAGCACAAGTACATTTTCAAATATTACATCTATTCTACCACAATTTATTGCCATTTTCTTACCCTTGATCCACGATAACCATTGAACGAAGCTCGCAATTGTTGAAGCTGAAAAATGTTTCAGAGTTTCATTAGTAAACAGTGTTTGCAATTTTTGAAGTTACACAAGGTTTTTGTTTTAAGCTCTCTTACTGTATAGACAATTCTTCCTTTATTTCATCGATACAATCCTTTCCGAAAGAGCTCAAGACACCATGCAAGAAGCCACTGTGAGATACAATTGCAATCTCCGTTTCTTTCCTCGTCCATAGCCTTCAAAAAGCAAATGGCTTAGAGTTTTTAAACCAATGGTAAATTAGTAACTAAACAAGAACTAAAATGTATTCAGGATCCAATGGATCTCACCAGTTGATGAACTCTATACCTCTAGCTGCAACTTCTTTCAGGCTCTCTCTTGGACTCGGCTTCCACAAAACATCCTTGTCGCTTTCAATCTAATACCATAGAAGCAACCATAAGAATCTTTCTAACATTATGGCGACACAAAAAAGGCATCCGTAGAGATATTGATATGTAACCCATATGGTGTTCTTACAGTTGAGAAATCGATTGCAGGAAACAAAGCCTTGTACTCTGTGACACTTCTTCGCCTATCACAAGGATGATCACCCTGTGTTCATAAAAAAAACTTTAAAATATTTATCGATCTTAGCTTATTACTAACTCCATAATTAGTTATGTACCATAGTTTCTCTGCATAGCTCAACAGCTAGAAAAGGTGGGCTATTTAAGCTTGAAATCGCAGGACGGTGACTGCTCCCAGCGTTGACTATCATTAGCGGTGTTGCATCCGCTCCATTAGTATCTTCTTCGCCTCCAAAAGCACCAACAGCTGTTTGAATCGTTCTACATTTGAAACGGTCGTAAAATTGTAACATTGTTAGTAGTTTCAGTTGCTATATAACCCCAAAGCAAAAGATCTTATAAACTTTTTCAGCACAAAATTGTAACATTGTTAAAGTTGCTACAATTGTTTCAAACACTTGTTTGTGGAGACAAAACTTAAAGATATGTCGACAAAAAAAAAAAAAAAAAAACAAAAAAAAAACTTAAAGATATAAATCACATTTGTCATGGATATTTGTGAATGGGTAAAATTATCCGTTCTAATTGTCCATTTAATTGTGTTCCTAATATGAACTACAGTAGATAAATAATTATGACAAAAAAGGAAACAAAACACTAATATTTTTATATATTATGTTTGCAAAATGTAAATGGAAATGAAATTCTCCTTAATTTCGTTTGCTTTTGTAGGTTGTAGTTAAACATTTGGGGAATAAGAAACGTTTACCGAAGCAAAGGGGAAACAATGACAAGTTCAATCTTGTTTAAAAGTTGAGTTTCTAAAACATGGTTCCGTAGATTATCCACCTGCCATAGATAGTGATGATGATCAGCATCGTACTAGAGCACTAAAATTAAGATCAGAACAGAGATATACCTGTTGCCAACCAAGAGGGGTCAGATGAGCATCAAAATAGTTCTCAGAAGAGTAAGCACTATGGTCTTTTTCTCCAGCCACATTATGAATCCCCTGCGCATGTCTCACCTTTATATAAACAAACAAAATAAAACACATCAGAAAACTTGTCAAGAGAATTTGAACCACATATCTATGGATCAATTTGTACGAACCAGGTGAATAGTTTTGCAATGATGAAGTGGGTAAAGACCTATGCCTTTGTCCATGGCTAATCAGATCAGAATCTCATAGAAATCGATGTTACCTTGAGGATGAATTATAATTAAAAGGAGGAGAGAAAGATGCTAAACCGACGGATCCTCCACTTTCTATAAATTATTTATTTTCTTGAAAAAGGAAGAAACGAGGAGACTACTGAGATTGAGATCTGGCCTTGACCAAGCCCAGAAGATCCGTTACTTAGCTTTTCGGTTTATTTTCTTATTGGCATATTCCATCATGACCGGCCCATGGCATAGCCCGAATAGGCCATGGCATAGAGCCCAAACGTTTTTTCTGTCATAATTTAATATTAAATTTTTAATATACTTTTAAAAAAGGATTCAGTAAGTGTATATCCAAATAGCCAATATGTGTTAAAAATATTGCCATGAAGATTTGGTATTTAGTTTTTTGGAAATTTTGCCACCAATTGGATGAAAATGCTCTTTCCACCAAACTTACCAATCTAAACAGTCTATACAATTTTATATTATTTTTTTCTAACCAAATATTTTTATCTTATTTATTTGATATATTACGTTAATTTTATATTAGTAACTAATTTAATTTTAAATACTATTAAAAACATATATTTTATTTCTCATCTACCATGGTTTGAATTTTTAAATCTAACAAAAATATATATTGTAGGCATGAATAGTGTGACATTTCAAGAATCTCATTAAGGACAATTCCGATTTTCTGCGATCAGACATAAGGTTATCTCTTCCACTCTATAAATAAATGGAGCTTGTGGCAGAGAGAAGACAGAGAGATCATAGCGGTGAAGCCCTGCCGGAGTCAAGCTTGAGAAGGCACTACATCAATCTAGAAGGCTGATCCGACGTGTTCTGCTGTGAGAGATAATAGGTTGGTCAAATCAGATCAGATCGGCATAAAAATTAGTAAGGTTCTTGGATTGCCTAGGACTATAACAGGTAAAGATTCAATCTTTGTTGTTATAGATAGATTCTCTAAGCTGGCACACTTTATTGCTTGCAACAAAACTGATGATGCATCTCATATAGCGAGCCTATTCTTTAAATAGATTGTTCGATTACATGGCATGCCTAGGTTTATTGTATCAGATAGAGACACTAAGTTCCTAAGTTGCTTTTGGAAAACATTGTGGTCTAGACTAGGAACAAAGCTTGTGTTTTCGACTACTTGCCACCCACAAACCAATGGGCAAACTGAAGTAGTTTATATAACTCTATCTACACTTCTGCGAGCATTAATCAAGAAAAATCTTAAGTCTTATAATCTCAAGAAAAATCTACACTTCTCTACCTCACGTTGAGGTTGCATATAATCACTCCATGCATTCTACTTCTAATTTCTCTCCATTTCAAATTGTGTATGGATTTAATTCCTTATATCTGTTGGATCTAACTCCTTTTCCTTTGAGTGAAATAATAAGAATGGATGGCAAGAAAAGGGCTGAAGTTATTAAACAGATCCATCAGAAAGCCAGGGAAAACATTGAGGAGAAGACAAAGTAGTATATATGTCCGAAAAGCAAATAAAAACCGACGAGAGGATATCTTTAAAGAAGGAGATCAAGTATGGGTTCACTTAAGGAAAGAAAGATTTTCAGATAAAATAAATGTCCAAACCCATGCCAAGGATCGATGGTCCTTTCAAAGTCATAAGAAGAATCAGCGAAAATTCTTATCAACTTGACCTGCAAGGTAAGTATAATGTGAGTTCAAGTTTCAATGTTTTTGATTTAGTTCCATTTTTTGCAAATGATCAAGATTTGAGGTCAAATCCTTTTCAAGAGGACGGGGATGACGCGATTGATATGTTCATAATTTGCATCATTTATGTTGCATTTTAGAGTCCAAATCATATTATGCATTTTAGGTCTTTAAGTATTGTTTTAGACCTTAGGGGTTGCATTAGGTCCCAATGAGTTTTTGCATGGTTTGGAGTCATTATCAGGTACTTTTGGAGCTCTTTGGAGCAGAAGAGGTGTAATCAGCAATGGAAAGGTGGAGAAATGGGTCAGAAATGGTGAAAACTGCCTAAAGGTGTTTATTGGCCAAGTTGTGTACTGAAGGAAGCTTTTTCGCGGCTAAAAATCCAACCCGGCAAGTTTTCTCGGCCAAAATCACTATCGGGTGAAGTTTAATCGGCCAAAGTGTTATCGGATGGAATTTTCTCGGCTAAAACCAGCATCGGGTGAAAGCTTATGGGGTGAAGATTTATGCCGAGCAGGATGAGATTTTATCGGCTAAAAAGCTTACCGCGGATTAAGATTCTCGACCATTTTCCTTACCGCGGTATGTATCTCTCGGCCAAAATCTGTTTACGCCGACACACAACAATGATTGACTGTCCGGGGAAGCTTCCGGTCCGAATCAGTTGTCAGGGTCTGCATCAAAGTTGGAGAGGATTGAGTTAGGGTTCCCAAACAATTAGAATTTCTGAATTCGGACCAGTGAGAAGAGAGTTAAGGCCATCAGGAGACACGCCTGTCTCGCATCTGTTTTAAGCCGATCCGATGAGCTTCCGAGATTGCGAGGGACGATGCCTTTCAGGTTAGATTGAGTTGTTAGGGCCTTCATCACAATTGAATATCTTTGAGTCCTCTTTCCAGAACATTTGAGAGCATCCGATTTGGAGCTGTATGCTAAGAGATACCGTCTCTGGAGTGAGCATGGGTCCAGGAGCTGCTTCCTTACCGTTCTGATGCGATGCAAAGATGAGCCGTCCGCGGTGTATCTATACCAAGGTCCGTTGTCATGAACCCAGATCAAGAACAAAGAGGTTCTAACGAGTGCACGTGAAGATGAATCAAACACTAGGGTTCATACATGTTCTTGGTGAGTTCTTCATCTCAATCTTTGCTCACATGCACCCCTCGACATCAGCACCTCGGCATTGGACTCTCACACACCAAGGACCTCAATGATAACTAAGAATTTTGAGTCTTGAAGAGGTATCAATCCCCTGTAGTTGTAGTACAAAGGTATCAAATCCAAGCTGATGGTTAGACACTAGGTTATGATGCTTATAACTTAAGTAAAGCGCAATCAAGAAATGGTTTTGATGTCTAGACTAGTTAAAGTGCAAGCAAATGAACAAAAATAAGAGATTTGACTAAGCAAAGATGCAAATAAAAAGACAAGTAAGCAAGATAGATAAGCGGTTGATGTATGAATGATGAGGCTGAGGTCTTAGACATGATAAAGGACTCGGGTGCTTCCATACTAGACTAGCGAGTTCATGAACTAAATGATCAAGCAACTTCATTTAACATGAACTCAAAGACAAGTTAATCCTCTCATGAAGGTATTAAGCTTCTAAACTAATCCTATTTCATACCAAAATCCCTTTTGAGAAGCATGAATCAGCAAGCATTAAGAATCAGCTCAATAAGTCATTTAAGAGAAGCAAACTATCATTATCATGATGAAAGACTCTTAAACCTCTACTAAACCTGGTTCAGGTATTTCAGCGAAAACTTGTCAGGCGTGAAACACCTTAGAATCTAGACCACATGTGATGTTCATGGATCCAGCTTAGAGATCGGTTTAGTAGAGAATGAATGATGCAGATCTAGAACCTAAACTTGCTAATCTAGCATTTCAACACCTTAATCTACCTATCTAAAACCTCATAATGGAACTACTCACTAATCATGAAGAGCACACTTAATCTTTTGCAAGAAGTGATGCTATACATGATTAGAAGCTTTGGTGATGATGAAAAGAAACAAAGAGAACAAGATCTTTACGTAAACACGAGATATCTGATTAAAGAGGCCAATTTTCACAAAAGAGGCAAGTTCTCAAAGATAAAACAGGATAAGAGATAAAATCCATAGGGTTTTGGTCCTAAAAACTATATATAGTGAAGCTAAGTGATGCGGACCAGCCTGGAACAAACCAGGTACTAAACTGGTCTTCTTGGGTGCATGAGTCAGGTCCTCGGTGTGTGAGAGTCCAATTCCGAGGTGTAGACGCTGAGGGGTGTACATGAACAAAGATCAAGATGAAGAACTCATGAAGAACTCACCAAGAACATGCATGAATCCTAGTCTTTGATTCATCTTCACATGCACTCGTTAGATCAGCTTGGTTCTTGAATCTGGGTTCGTGACAAGGGACCTCGGCATAGGCATGCCAAGGGGCTTGGTAGTCGAGGGATCAAGGGAGATGAGGTCCGACATGCAATGCCGAGGTCTTGAAGTCGAGGTCTAGCTTCAACACTTAGTCATTTTCAGCTTGTCTTCTCAGCATATGTGCCTCGGTCTTGATACACCAAGGGGTTAGCACGAGGTCTGGAACAAAAAGCTTCAGGGAATAGGCCTCGACTTAGGCAATGTCGAGGGAACGGCACCGAGGCCTGTATAAACACTTAGCACGTATCGCAGCTCTTGAAGCTTATACCTACCCACTTGTCTCCCGGTTGCAATAACTTTCAGCACACGACTCCAAACGACTTGAAACCAACTCTACGGTCAAGATCACTCATTCAGCTCAAACTTTGGTCAAGAAACCATCGGAGCTTGGGAAGTGGAAGGTTCCCCGGATTTCTCATCTTTGCATCGCATTGGAATGGTAGGAAAACAGCTCTTGGACCTTTGTTCACTCCAGAGACGATATCTTTCAGGCCAGAACTCCAACTCGGGTGATCTCAGGTGTTCTGGAAAGAGCACTCAAAACCTTGAATAATGATGGAGGCCTCGACAACTGAATCGAACTGGAAAGGCATTGTCCCAAGTAATCTCTAAAGCTCATCGTATCGGCTTAGAATACATTTGAAACAAGTATGTCTCCCGGTGACGATATCTCTCTTCTCACTGCTCCGAATTCAGTAACTCTAACTGTTCTGGAATCTTGACTCGATCATCTCCAAATTTGATGAAGACCTCGTTAACTGATTCGGACCAGAAGCTTCCCCGGATTTGCAATCTTTGAAGTGCGCACGTGCAAACAGGTTTTAGCTGAGAAATGCTTCTCCCGGTAAGGAAAATATCCGAGAATCATATACCGCGGTAAGATTTTAGCCGATAAAAATCTCCTGTCTCGGAATAAAACTTCACCCGACAGCATTCTCACCCGATACTGATTTTTGGCCAAGAGAAATC